TCAATTTTACCAAATATCACATATTTTGGCAAAGCGAAGAAGGGGTACTATTTCGGGTGATAACACAGAGATGCATGGCCGAGAGTTATACACTGCTATCACATTTTTTTCATATCTAGGGATATATATCTTGCTAAAAATCACAATGAGCCTTACTCCATCTGTATGGTACCGACCGGTCAATTTGGGGGGTCTGGCTCATAGCCTAGCTATGTCTGATCTCAAACGGGAGCCATAATCGGCACTGTGTGAACGCCGCATTACCCAAAAACGTTCCTGTTTAACACTAGCTACTGACTAGTCCGAGATTCCTCTGACCAATGCCCACACCCACATCAAAACCACCAAAATCGTCGGTGTGGGCATTGGTCAGAGGAATCTCGGACTAGCTACTGACCTGCAGGCGTCTATTACAGCTGCTACTATAAGAACACGTTCGACAACCACCACGTTTCCATTTTCCCGCACGAATTTTACAGTACCTATATAATACTGTATACTGTATACTGTACACTGTAATACTGTCCGCAAATGCAGACGTTATTACTCCGCTTTGCTAATCTGAGGGTGCGGGTTTAACCCATTACTGGGGTCTGCGTCGGCTCGGACTAACTGTAGTAATTAATACTGTAGCTCGGTTAGTGGTGGTTAGCTCGGTTAGTGGTGAGCACTGTCAGTGCCGTGACGATATAACAACGATAACATAACGACGATAACGATGGATTTATAATGCTAGCGTCTATTATAGAAGCTGGAAAATGAAGCGTGAAATTTGTCATAGTTAACAAAACTGAGCAAATACAATTGTCGGTTCAAGGATGGAGAGCATGACCAGATTGATGGCATGATCCTAATTGAGCCCAATTGTCAGCCAAACACGCCGTTGCGACAAATTGTCACCGTTGAGTGACAAAGTGACAGATCGTCAAAGTCACATATATATTATAACTAATAACAAAACAATAAACAATAATAATAGCTGCTGCATCTTGGTGGGTATCTGACAGTGACAGCGAGCAATCACCCTACTAGGTTGGTGAAACACATTATAAAATTTTGGATTTCACGTGTAGGAATTTACAACTTACAAGACTTACATACAACTACACGTCGTTTCTCCAGGACGCATTTAGCATCTTTTTATTTGCTCACTATCTGGAAAATGCAAAACTCACCTATGAACCCACGACGCACATCCTCCTATCGGGTTATTCGCCCAGTACAAATTAGCTTGCCACTATAATAGCTCTGTCAGTATATCCGTATGAGAATGACAGACAATCAGTCACACACAAACAAAACTTGTTACGTGTATGCCAGTATGGTACCCAAGAACATATAATAGTTGAAATGCGTGGGGCGCTCCAGCGTAGCGGAAAGCGCGCAAATGCGCATGCGCGTAAACTACTAAACTTTACGGTTCATTGAGCAGTGGCTACGCGTCCGGAACCGGTCGCCTAGCTTCCAGGCTACGCATCCGGACCATATACGTATTATAGGATAGGATGTCTATGATCCGGACATCCACTTACACAGTGATCGCGCGACTCGCGTACACTCATGATTGCGCAACGGGACTCTCTCTCTCTCTCTTTCTCTCTCTCGCTCTCGCTCGCTCTCTCTCTCTCTCTCTCTCTCTCTCTCACACACGCGCAGCTCTCTCTCACTCTCTCTCTCTCTCTCTCTCTCACACACACGCGCCTCTCTCTCTCTCTCTCTCTCTCTCTCTCTCTCTCTCCCTCTCTCTCACACACACTCCTCTAGCTCTCTCACACGCACGCACGGCCTACTGTATAAGCCGTATTTTCCGCGTACAGATATTTTCGCGAACTCAAATTTCGAGAGTAGTTAATTTCGCGATCGGTGAATTATGAATTATTCGGTATGCATTATTCACGTGTTGTTATTTTCGCGGTCGGGGACGCGTTCGCGAAATTCGCGAAAATTAAACAACCGCGAAATATACAGCTTATACAGTTATTGTTGTTTCTTATTCTCCTTTGATTTTCTCGCCTACACATATGCCGAATGTTAGTGAGAACTGTCTGACCTTGCATCTTTGCATCTTTGCAGCTTTTTCTACAATTTAACTTCTTGTACATAAATTACATTAATCGCGCCTAGCACTATCATGCAGCGCTACTATTCTTGAAGGCAAAATTGCCCGATAGCTGACAGTAAGTCTAGGTTTGCTACCTCTAAGAGGAGAAGCACAGATTGAGGAGGAAATGAGGATGATAAAGAGAGAGAGAAAAAGTGAGATTTCGGTTTTATTTACTATCACTAGCCGGGTACCCGGCGTTGCCCCGGGGAAAAACGCGTAGGAACAACTTTTAGAGCAAATCCAGCCACATATATTTACTTGATTCTAGGGATAGATTCGTAACAGAGAAACAAACATTAAACAATATTCTGACAAAAACAGTTCGAACGATTCTATATGATTCAATGTAGTAAAAGCTTCTGGATATACAACATAGTTATGAAATTGCGTCACGTTATCACGAATATGCCTCTCTGGCTGTGCAGCCTAAATGCGTCAGCATTTTTGCCGTAACGCACTGTCCACGCTACGTTGATTTCCTTTACATATATTAACTGCGAATATTAACTTATACAGTAATTAAACAGAAATGTAGGAGTTGTCCTTGTGGTGAAATGTCAGGTAAGTGTCGCAGGCAGCAACTATGTACCCATTTCACCCTTTCCTTTACTTCTTATGTACACTTCCTTCAGATATAAAGTCATTAACTTTAAAAAGCAGAGATACTCTTACATCCAACGACGTCTAATCTTAGTAATCTGTTCTCTGCAGCAAGGTGTTTTATTTAAATTTTATTTATTTTTATTTATTTATTTAGGCAATTATCCATTATATATATACAATACATAGCATACTTTTACAATAAAATTCTGAATTCATAAAATTGGATAACTACAAAGGATATATATACTCACAAAAAGCATGACTAGCACACTTATTTACATATTGTGGTCCTTGTTTTTCTATGCCTTGAATCTAACAATTACACTACTAATAGGCCTACTATCAGCACTAACTATTAAAATATACAAATTCGTAGTTTGAACCAGTCATACAATGGTACATTCTCATAAGACGATACAAACTTTTCTTATGCCTTACATTTGTTCCTTATATAAGAAGAGCCTATCTGGTTATTCTCCTCTGTATCGGTTGGATTCCATATCGTGTTGATCTACACTATAGTGTGTGTCTCTTTCAGAGCTTCTTCAGGTTCTGAAGGAGTAGAATCTTTTTCTTTTTTTCTTTTCTTTGCAATGCATTTGTGTTTCTATTCTCCCTACTTGAGCAATGTACTTTGTTATGCAGTTACATTTCTTAGAGGTTTGTTTATTACATGTTTTACTTTGTTACACAAGTGTGCTAAGTGCAGTACAAACAGCTATTGTGCAATTAAGAGTGTACAAATATTGTGTACAATTATTGTGCAACATGCAGTACAAGATCTGTGATTGTGTTCTCACTTTATATTTGAATTTGAAATTTTATATTTGAATATTCAATATCATAGTATAAATGATTCAACCACGGTAAAAATGATTCAACTGCGATATAAATGAATTTCCATTCCTATCTCTACTTCCCTTCTCTCGCCTTTCTTTTGATCTGTTCCTCTCTTCCTCTTTCTATCTCTATCTCCTTTTCACTTTCCTCTTTTCTCTCTCTGTCTTTCTCACACCGTCTTGCCCGCTCTCTCGGTGTCTCTATTCCCTCGTTCTCAATGATTCAACCGCAGTATGATTTAAATTTATACCGCAGTTGGAGCATTTATACCGCGGTTGAATCATTTATACCGCGGTTGAATCATTTATACCGTGGTTGAACCATTTATACCGCGGTTGGAGCATTTATACCGCGGTTAGAGCATCTATACCGCGGTTGAATCATTTATACCGCGGTTAAAATCATTTATACCGCGGTTAAATTATTTATACCGCGGTTAAAATCATTTATACCGCAGGATTCAACCACGGTATAAATGATTTAACCGCTGTATAAATGCTCCAACCGCGGTATAAATGATTTTAACCGCGGTATAAATGATTCAACCGCGGTATAAATGATTTAACCGCGGTAGAAATGATTTAACCACGGTATAAATAATTTAACCGCGGTATAATTGATTCAACCGCGGTAAAAATGATTCAACTGCGGTATAAATTAATTTCTATCCAATTCTCTCGCCTTCTTCTTTATCTGTTCCTCTCTTCCTCTTTCTTCCTCTATCTCCTTTTCACTTTCCTCTTTTCTCTCTGTCTTTCTCACATCGTCTCGCCCGCTCTCTCAGTGTCTCTATTCTTTCGTTCTCAATGATTTAACCGCAGTATGATTTAACCGCGGTATAAATCATTTTAACTGCGGTATGATTGATTCATGCCTTGGGCCCCCATCATACACCATTCTATTATTACAATTCTATATAGGTGGCCTTAGGCCCCCGTCATACAAATACTATATATGTGGCCTTGGGAGCCCATCATACACTATTCTATTATTACAGTACTATATAGGAATCCTACCAGGTTGTAGTCATTCAGCTTGGGGTACCACGGCTTAGAGGACGTATTTTTTCTCCGTTTAGTTTTGTTACACTATGACGGAGCAGAGCGGGCAATCAGAGTTAAACGATACTTTGAGGGAACTTCTGAGTGAGTTTAAAGGGCAGAAAGCAGAGTTAAATTCTTACGAGATGAGGTTCGAAGCAATTCTCAGGCTGTTTCAAATGAGGTGGAAAAACTGAAATCGGAGAAGGACCTGATCTGGAAATACACGGGAAACAGAATTCAGTACGTATTTAATGGAGATTTGTTAGATTCCGTTACCCAAGGCCTGTGGGCGTGTGATAACGACAAAGTGTCTTATACCAGAGAGATTTTAACAGAGATTGGCAGAAAGTTGATGCAGAGAAATAAGCTTATTCGTATTGCTGATTCGTCTGAGGCCGGTTGGGAGACAGTGCGTCAGTACGAGGCGAATCCCGTGGCTAGTGATTCAGATGATGAATCCCGTATTCGGAAGGCTGAGGCGCGGGCTGTGCGCCAGAAAAAGTCCAAGAAACAAAGCCAGCACAAGTCACCATATTTTAACGCTGCAGGGCCAAGCACTTTTGCTACTGCTGATGGCGGTCATCCCGGGATGGGGCCCTCGTTCGGATTCACAGGGAGAGGACAGCAACATTTTCCGGAGATACGGAATTTTCGTCCATCACAAGGAGCCTCCTATCCAGGAACGTCATATTCGGGGACGCCATTCACAGGACGTGAATTAAACCACACATCATACGCACGACAACTGTCAATGGAAATGCTACAATATTATAAACAACCCCCGTTACATTGTGCTCTTCGTGTTACCTGGTAACAGCACAACACTGGACCAAGTGGTCATCCACAGCCAAATGGCCTTCTAACAACTGTACTCTAATAACGGTAACTGTAGACAACACTACTCGCTATGCGAATAACGGCACAATACGCAGACCACGTGGTCTTTGTTCGTCAAATGACATACCGCCTTAACAGTTCAGGCGGTATACCCCTGTGCTACAACAAATAGCAATAAATGATATTTATTGAAGAGAAGTGGTTGTTGTCATCTATGGATAGTCAGTGGTTTAAGGGAATCTATTATTACAATACTATATAGGTGGCCTTAGGCCCCCGTCATACAAATACTATATATGTGGCCTTGGGCCCCCATCATACACTATTCTATTATTACAATTCTATATAGGTGGCGTTAGGCCCCCGTCATACAAATACTATATATGTGGCCTTTGGCCCCCATCATACACTATTATTACAATTCTTTATAGGTGGCCTTAGGCCCCCGTCATACAAATATAACGCCGGCAACACTATATATAACGTGCTACTAATAACTTACCGAGTGCTGCACCGGCGCTTGTCTTGTTTTTTCCTATTTAATGCTATATCTAGGCCTATGGGTAATACAATCGGCATATACCATGGTAACTTGTTTTAGCATTACTAAAATACGTAAACAAAAATAACTATTTTCGGTCGCGGAAGGGTTATTGTCGGAGTGAACTGACGGGGGCTGGAGGCCACCGGCGGGGGATGAGGTGGCCTAATGCCACACTTGGATGTGGATATCTGTTACCTGCGCTGCGTATACCAGCCAGTACACAATCTGGCTACGTTAGTGTGTTAGCGCATGCGTAATATCTCGCCACATATTTTGTGATGAATATGCATTTAAAATGGTTAGGGA